CAGCTCACGTAAAAATTAATAAAAGTTAGTACATGCTCAATATCCAATTGGTATTTTTATCATACAGATGAGAAGTCACTTTTGGTAATTATTTGTAGAAAACAACAATATCTACCGACACGCTGTTTACAAACAAACCCGCGTTTGCCCACACCAGGTGTGAGAACTGGGCGTGCGCAGAAACCGAATTCGCGTCAAGCGAAGCGTCTGCACATGCGCAGTGCCGACAGCAGCGCCACCACACCTGCGTGGCGTCAGGGCCGCGTGCTGGTCTGCACCGTTTCTTGTTTTTTTTATTCGTGCAGATTTGTTTTAAAAGTAGCCGTGAAGTCTACACTTATGCGGTTTGTGTGAGTGAGTTATACGCCCAGGGGGACATTATGTGGTTTGCTAATCTTTGCGATAAGCCGGCTAATTAATTATAATTCACTAATTAGCTTTTAATTAGTGAAACTATAGACCCATGGTTTCAATTAGAAACTAGCTGAGCGTCGTCTAAAACCCCTAAATCAGTAATGTTCAGAAAGACTGAGCGCATGTGAAGCGCAGTAGTGCGCTGAAGTTACCACTTGTGGAGCAGATACAAGGCTGGGGCTAGATAAGAGACGGATAAATTGCACGGGCTCCTTACCGAAACTGCTAGCCTTGTCCCTAAAATCGCTTCTCACGCGCTGCTACGCTTCTCACGCGCTGAAAGTCTTTTTGAAAATAACTGATTTAGGGATTTCGGACGACGCTCAGCAAGTTTCTTATTGGAGCCATATGTCTATTTTCACTAATTAAAAATTTAAGTAGTGAATTTTAAATAATTAGCCTACTTATCGCAAAGATTAACCACCCACATAATGTCCCCGTATAACTCACTCGCACAAACCGCATAAGTGGTGCTTTCATGGCTTTTTTAAAAACAAATCTGCAGGAATAGAAAAAGAAACACCCCGTATATCAAGGTGGCCTTATTTGATTGGGGCATATCTGCCGTGATATGGGTGGCAGATATACCCCTATTTGGCAGAGCCAGATATGTATATATAAAAAATTGGGCAGATCTGGCTAGATAAGGCTCATTAAACTGATGTGCTTGATATGGCGAGATATGCCCAATTTTATATATAGCCATATTTTTTTATATATATATAGTCCAGATCTGCCACTTTCGTAAGTGCGGCACCACGAACAGAGACCTTGGAATGGGGACGCTTTACAAATGTCTATATGAGGCATTCGAGGAAATATCTATCCATTGATTTTGTCTCAAACATCGTACAACCTTACAAACCACGTTCGCGACGTTCAGGGAGAATGGGTATTCGCGGAGACCTTATTTGGGGGAAGGGGGGGGGGGGGGGGGGAGACGGAGACGGACTTTGAGCTTACACTCCGTGGTTATATTCCCGGCTATGGGGACTTCGCTGACCTCGCGATTCCTGAATGAGTTACTGCTTGTGTTAGCTTTCCAAATTTCTTTTAGAGCGCAGCTTTTAGGGGCCCGTTCCCGGCTTGAGCGGCGTCGCCGTCGCCGTCGGCGTAACCAAGGTCATCCCAAGGTCACTTGACCCCCAAGGTCACTTGACCCCAAGGTCACGTGACCCCTCCCCAAGGGTCATCGGGGGTCACGTGACTCCCGAAGGTCACGTGACCCCTTCCCCAGGGTCACGTGACCCCCAAGGTCACGTGACACCCCAAGTCACGTAACCCCCCGGGGTCACGTGACCCCCGATGACGTCTTCAGTGACGTCACTGATAACGTCACCGGCATCCGCATCGTCATCATCACTGATGACGTCACCGGCATCCGCATCGTCATCGTCATCATCGCTGATGACGTCATCAGTGACGTCACTGATGACGTCACCGGCATCCGCATCGTCATCATCGCTGATGACGTCATCAGTGACGCCACTGATGACGTCACCGGCATCCGCATCGTCATCATCGCTGATGACGTCACTGATGACGTCACCGGCATCCGCATCGTTATCGTCATCATCACTGATGACGTCACCGGCATCCGCATCGTCACCGGCATCGTCATTGTCATCATCACTGATGACGTCATCAGTGACGTCACTGATGACGTCACCGGCATCCGCATCGTCATCGTCATAATCACTGATGACGTCACCGGCATCCGCATCGTCATCGTCATCATCGCTGATGACGTCACCGGCATCCGCATCGTCATCGTCATCATCACTGATGACGTCACCGGCATCTGCATCGTCATCATCACTGATGACGTTATCAGTGACGTCACTGATGACGTCACCGGCATCCGCATCGTCATCGTCATCTCACTGATGACGTCACCGGCATCGTCATCATCGCTGATGAAGTCATCAGTGACGTCACTGATGACGTTACCGGCATCCGCATCGTCATCATCGCTGATGACGTCATCAGTGACGTCACTGATGACGTCACCGGCATCCGCATCGTCATCATCACTGATGACGTCACCGGCATCCGCATCGTCATTGTCATCATCACTGATGACGTCATCGGTATCCGCATCGTCATCGTTACTGATGACGTCATCGTCACGTGACCCCCACCCAAGGTCACTTGACCCCCCCCAGTACCCTTCCCTCCTCCTCCCCAAGAGCTGCGCTCTAATTCGGCGTTTCAGGTAGTTGTAAACGGCTTTCACTTTTTTTCCAAACGAATCTTTTTTTTTTTCTTTTTTGCAGAACAAATTTTCGTTTTGTCATCTTTATCGTTTTTTCTTTCGCACGCACTCCGTCTTTTAGGTCGCGGACATCGGGGGGAAATGAATAAACAAAGTGAAGTGTCTTACCTTCCTTTGTTTTACTTTGTCACGGACGTCTTGTAACCGTACTGCCGGGGTCACACTGCTCATACATGATACAAAAGACAGTCTGCAAACACGAGTCACAGCAATATCCATGGTTCGAATGTGCGTGCGCCAAGTGTCTCCTTGAACTCATTGCTATGCGGCATTCTAAGCTCGGACCTCGCGGTGACTCGCGTTTGAATCTGTATGCAGACTGTGCTTTGTATGATGTATAAGCAGTGTGACACCGGCTTAAAGTCTGCGGCCGCGTCATTTGGGTGGGTTGAATGTTCGCGGATCGCGGGGTCCTCGTTGGGGGTGTTTGTAGGGGTGGGCGATCACTCGGTGTTTTTTTTTTTTTGGAAATCGATATTTGCCCAAAAAGTAGGGTGGGCAATGACTCGGGGATGGGCGATAACACAGGATATTACGTAGTTTGAGTGCTTAATATCGACATTGTTTGAACACGAGTCTTACCTGACCGCTGGCGGTGCACTCGTCTGTGTCCGTGCTCGTTCGCAGTTCGACTGAACGGGTTCGTAAATTCAAGTGCACAGGCCTTCTTAGTCACCGACAGTATGAGAACGCCAACGGATCTCCTAGTCCTGCCGCGAGAGCGAGCTTCCTAGCTTCGATAACGCTCCGGCATCTTTTGAGCCACCAGTGTGCACGCCCAGCCGAAGCACGACACACGCAACGAGCTTGTGTGTTGGAGGCATCCGTAAGACCCGCCCTGCTGTTGTCACCGTATCAGCGACTACACGAAGAGAAACAGAGAGGCGAGGAGATGAGGCCGCAGGGACATCAGAGCACCGAGTTCTAATTGGAATGATAAGTGGGTAGACATAAAGCTACAGCTGGGGGGCTATGTTGCGCTTTTTGCACTCCCAGGAGACTAGGGAGAGGGAAGTGACCTCAACGACACAGCAAACGCAGATTGGGTGTTGATTTCGTTTTCTTCTGTCAACATCCAATCTGCATTTGCTGTGTCGTTGACGTCACTTCCCTCTTCCAAGTCTCCTGGGAGTGCAAAGAGCGCAACATAGCACCCCTGGCTTCGTCTCTATACTCCCGGTCTCCCTTTAGTCAGAGTGAGCAGGAGCGTCGTCTGCTCTTCGCTCAGTTTCTCGCGTTTGAACGCCCTCGTTCGCCGTTCGAACAGCGTGTAGAGACAAAGGCAGCTTGCTTTTGCATCTACTCACGATCCTTCTATGCTTCGTTTCAACTCAAATCCAGACGCAGCCGACGCTACGATGTAATGGGACCAATCAGAGAGAGGTAAAAGCGCAAATCACTAGGCCTTTTTTGTTTATAATTAGTTCAGCGACAATAGAACAGGTATAGATACGTAACGAACACCATGATACCCGTGTCCCACTAGAGCGACATACAGAAACAAAAGACAAAGACAAGCCTCAAACCAGAGTCTTTCGCGATTTGAGACGCTTTGTAGAGTAACGGAGGCTATGCTCAAACACGAGCATCATGCACGCGAGGGTATCTTTGGCAGGCTTGCAATCGCTCGTGCTTACTTCGCGAGCACCGAACGACTAAATGCCTGCCAAAGGTACCATCGCGAGCATGCTGCAAGGGTTTGAGGCTTGTCGCTGTCTTTTGTTTCTGTCTGTCTCTCTAGTGGGACGCGGGCATTAGGGTGAGCTTTTGACGTTGTACAATTGGTCCCATCTTCTGTTCGTCAGTTTCTTTCTGTATGGGGTGGTGGTTGGTTCGAATCCCGAATGGCTTTTTCCCAATCTGACGGACCCTTATGACGGAGAAAGCCGTCTGAACTAATTCCGTCGCGTAATAAAGAAGCCAAGTTGCTTTGCATTTTTTTTCTTGGTGCTTCGCTTCGGTGTGGTGTATGCCTTTTGTTGTTTTGGTATCTAAGTCCTAAACAAACAAAAGAAAAATACTTTAAATGTTTTCAATTAAGGTCATATCATAGATTGTGTTTCCGCAATTTGGTGCGTAACTATTACTGTATAGTCAAGCTTCTGCTAGCCCCAAGCGCTAGTAAAGCTTCACGCTACAAGACGGGGCTACCCACAACTTGCTAAACCAAACACACGTCATGTGTAGCGAATCGTGGTGAAACTCTGCTCGGTGCTCTAGCTTAGTCCCGAGTGCAACTTTTCACCGTGCATTAGGAAGGTAGCAATCTGAGCTGAGGCTGACTTTCGCAACCGGGACCTTCACCACTCACCTTTTTCAGTTTTTCCACGTCCCCTTGGATGGGTGTTAAGACTGGCCCCGGGAAGACGACAGTTACGTCCACAGCTCCAGTCATCCTTCCCTGCAACCGCAGGCTGCTGAAGTAGCCCTGAGGGCGGAGAGGCAAGACAACGACACTTCCATGAGAGAACACAAAGAAGACAAGAGGGACCTAATACAGTATTCACAAGCGCAACAAAAAGACCAGTCCTGTGGCCTCCGCAATCTTCAAATCACACCGCCCACGCTCGCATGTATTATGTGCAGCTGACGAACTCCTGCTAGATAGCAAAGCCGTAGAGTTAGACGGATGGTTGGATGGATGGACACGACAACTTGGCGAACTGTGATGGCTAGGGCCCGGCGACCCAATAATAGCTTCGGAGCGATGCACGTGACCCGACGTCACGGGAACATTTGTGTCACTACGCCTAGTGAGGGGCGCGAGGCCCGGAGGAGCCGGCTGTCGTCTGCTAGCAAAGAGTTCTCTGCTCCGAAACCAACAAACTTCGGATGAACGTCCACCGCAGCAACATATCCGTCCGGTGGAAAAGCCAGCACTTCCGGAACAGTTTATGAGAAAACCACATATCTCAATTTAACCGCGATACAGTGAAGGGTGCTAACGCAAGGGCACAGTGCAATGTTTTGAGCGGAAACGGCCGATTACACGGCTGCGATCGCCGACGGCCACGGCGCTACAAGCGAAAAAACAAAAAAAATCAAGCGTATACGAATCTGGCGTCACTTTTTTGGCTTAAGCATAATTGAAAAGATGTGTGATTATTTATTCTTTCACATTTACTCGAGTTCAATTCCTAGAACTACTTTTTGTCGCCGAGGGCTCTGTTGCTGTGTCAGTAACCAGGCCCCGGTGGCTTCGACCACAGAGTGTTATCACGTGCCTTGTTCGGGCGCCCTTATTGGGTCGCGGGGGTCGCAGCCTTCACAGCTCGCCGTGTTATCGTGAAAATGAGTATCGTGAGGAACTTCGCAGCGTCACCTAAAAGAGGCGAACGTGGGACTCTGATTGGACACGAGGGCTGCGCCATCGTTCGGCTGGGACTCTGGTCCAATCAGTGAGGAGGACACCAATCCTAGTCGAACGCTGGGGTTCCGGCCGTCGTAACTCGGTCACATGACCCAGCTAGCTACGATGGTGACTGAGCACGCCACATTCCAAGGTTGGTTGATTTTCTTCCGCACAAACTGTCACACATCTGTAGATGTAAAACAAGTCAATTTTTTAAAAGAAAAACATTTTTTGCCTGACTGCAATTTAGTGTCAGAAAGTCGCGGGTCTCATGCAACTCTTTTGTAGGATTCTGAAAGTAAGAGAGGTACGCTTATGCGAAATAATGCCCGAACATATATATTATATACTTCGTTTTCTGAAAATGAAAGGCAGCGACGATGGATTGATGTGAGGTCATCACCTGCAGCGCGCTCTTCGTCGCGGCGTACACCGAGCAGGAACGTCCACCTGGAAAAAATCCAAGGTAATTTTATTTAAAATTATAAAATGTTGACCGCAATATACATCATACCTCATACTTGCTGGACAGTTTTCTGCTTACTGAAGCAAGCTTTGTGTGCAGAAAGGGCACTTGAAACAACAGAGCTCCTCTCAGGTAGCACGCGAATAAATAGCTAAATACTTCAGATTTCCTGAGTAACTTTTTTATTTTAATTTTCACAGTTTATTGCGTTGGCCACCTGACAACCAGGAGTGTGTTGCTTGGACAACCTACAACCTAGGGCCGGCCCTGACAGCGCTGTTGGCTGTGCTGCACTTTGCGTGGCCAGTTAAATCAACTTTTAGGTGCAATTACAGGGTGAGGCCGTGAGGAACAGCACATTTGGCACGCCATGTACGTTTCGATTTCTACGTAAAACTGTACATACGAACGTCGTTTCGTAAAACGTTCTATGTCCATCTTTAAGAACTGAAGTCGAAGGTGCTAAAATATTTAAAATGGTGCATAAAATAGCGGCTGTGCATTTTCTACGTCTTAAACCGGGTGTTCGTCGTCGGCACACTGGTTTTGCGAGCTTGCTCCCAGTTAGCCATCGTTCTTATATTTCGCTAAAATTATTACTTATCACGATTGTCCTGCTCGTCGCGGGCCGCTACAAGGCGATCTCAGTGTTTTCGCTTTCAGCAAGTCACCCCGGAGTGAGCGCGCAAACCAGTGAGCAGACGACGAATAGGCTCACATAGGACATAGAAAACACATGGCCATTGTGTTTGGTTTGTTTCCAATATGTCCCTACCTCTGAGTTGGGCTGTGAAAAAATTAGACATAAAACTTGCGAAATGACGTTGGCGTGCCCAGTTTCTATTATGTACGTTTGGAATTCGAATTTTTCAAGACGTGCCAAATGGGCTCATCCTTACAGCCTCACCCTGAAGGTCGAAACAGATCTCCAGTTAAAACCAAAGTTACCGGATTGTTTTTAAAACCATTGCTTGCGCAAAAACACCGCCGTTGGCGTCGGCGTCGGTGACGCGAGACGGAAAAACTTTGATTGGTCTATACCAGGGGTGCACAACATACGGCCCGCGGGCCGCATGCGGCCCGCGAGCGCTTTTTTAGTGGCCCGCGGCCCGGCTCAGTACAGAAATTCTCTTACTCTGCCAATCTATCCATTGAGCGTCCGCTCCGCTTGGCAAGCAGCAGTGAAACCCTCTGACCTACTTCTCTGTCTTCGACGAAGTAACTACGATTTCTCAATTCAAATTTTCTCTCTTCACTAATCTCGCTGAGAACAATAAAACAGCATGTGCAGCTGTCCCTGTCCATGGTGTGGATCTGTCTCAACATGTCTGTACACGGAACGCGAAAACTTGTAGCTCTTTCTCAACAGAGACAATTCTAACTCTTTCACCGCGGACGCTATCAACCCTCTCCGTTTTTGTTGGGATTGTTAGGGGTCCCATCGTCGGATTGGAGGACTGCGATCCGACAATGAAATTGGAGCTTATCGATCTCCAGTGTCCACTGGCGCTGAAGACTATTCATCCCGAATTCCAGCTGCACGAGTTTTACAAAAAAACCTGGACAAAAACAAGTACGGAAACCCGATGGACCACGCCTAGAAATGGTCGCCACATTTTGGGAGCACGTATGTTTGCGAGCAAACCCTTTCACTGATGACTCTCAACAAGAACCGCCCTAGATCTTCCATGACGGACATGGCTTTGCGAGATGTGTTGACGACGGCAACGAGTGAGATGACGCATGATATCGGAAGCCTGACCGCAGCCAAAAAGTGCAACACGTTGCACTAGGTGCGGCCCACACAGTTTTCAATAAACCAATTTTGGCCCGCCTAAATTTCTAGTTGTGCACCCTTGGTCTATACGGTCTCGACGTCACAGCCACACGATGTCGCGCGGGACTTTCAAACAGCGCTCACGTGAAACGTGACGTCACGCACGGAATGAACGTGAATAAAAAATTTTAAGCGGAGGTGGGATTCGAACTCAAAGACCCTTCGGTTCGACCCGGACGCAGACACGCTTTCACGGCTTGGGGACGAGCGGAGGTTTAGATTTAGTTATCCCGTTCCACTCTTAGGGGCGAAGCTTAAGCGATCTCCTGTAATTTTTTCGATATCCAAAAACGGTGGCTGCGATCATGACACGCTGAGGATTGAGGGTTGTAAACATGTTTTCTTCAATGTTTAATTACCTTGCATAGCAGACATGCTGGAGTTGACGACAACATGCAGTCGTCGCTGTTGTTGCATCGAATGCTTCAAGGTCAGTCGCGTCAGAGAAACGGGGCCGAACGCATTCACGTCAAACAGCGCTCTGTCATCCTCGTAAGTGAATTCTTCGAACTCTTCGAAGGTCACTCGCCCCGCATTGTTCACCAGCACGTCCACCTGATGAAGTAATTCGGGCATCGGGTGTTGTTTCGTCCAGTTCCTGTTTTATATGAAATAACCTTGTGACAACTAAAATAAGTAAACTGGGAATCGTTCTTAACGCAACTCAGCGAAAATGCGAAATGCACGTTTCTTCCGCAAGGACACATCTCTCATTTGATAGTACAGAAACCTTCCCATTGAGACAATTCTAACTCTGTTCAGAACACGTACTGGAGAGCAGAATATATACATGGCGTTTGTAGACTTTTCTGAGCACGCTAACATTTTCCTAAAAAAAATGCATTACAAAATAATTTTTTGTTAGTACAATTGACCCTTTCCGGAATTCAGTGCCATCTGGTGACTCAAATGGCAGTTTAACTTTTGCCGTACTAATGGTGGCAATGAACTTGTGGTCTGCAGAATTTTATGGGGCGCCATCGCTCTCGCAAGTCAATGGTAAATGAGAATGTGCGCATCACCGTACACTTTTTATTCAATCTATTTCTGTGTTGATGGCGGAAAAAATGCAACCACTCAGAACGAGGCACCATGCCCACATAGACGCCTTAACAGAAGTTATATATATCAAGGGGCTTTGAAGCCGAGTGTGTACCACTAACAAATTGACGGGCCCTGGTTAGAAATGAATGCTTATGCAGCTCTTGTATTCAATTCCTGTTTCACGTCACACTAACGTCTAGAATGTATCCGCCTCGAATCATCTGCTAAGCAGCATCTTCAACTTCTTCCTTCATCACTAAACAGAAAGCAGCCATTAGTAGAGCCCATATGTCATTTTTCATTGGATTGGATTGGAGTCGGCGGCTCTTCCCTTTGTATCGGGTGATCAACAGTAACGGATACTGAATCTAGCCTCGTGAGCCGCGACTTCCGCTTCCGCTTGGTGTTCCGCTGGTCGGTTGTACTCCCTCCGCCGATATGTCTCTCTCTTCAGGTGATCATAGTGACCAAAGCGGCCAGACAAAACTCCGGAAAGGGTCTATACCGCGCAGCTTAAATACCTAGCACAACATCGGTATTGGGCGAGGAAGATGGTTCTCTTAACGTTTCTTTTCCCATAGAGCGAAGTCAGAGAAGGCAAGATAAAAGGGCAGATAAAAAAATGAAAGCCGTTTACAACTCCCCGTAACGCCGAATTAGAGAGCAGCTCTTGAGGAGGAGGCGAAGGCGCGGGGGGGGGGGGGGTCACGTGACCAGGGTGGTCACGTGACCTCGGGGGGAGGTCACCTGCCCTGGGGGCCATGTGACCTTGGGGGGGGGGGGGGGGGGGGCGTCACGTGACGTTACGGCGATGGCGACGCCGCTCAAGCCGGAAACGGCCGCCTGAGAGCTGAGCTCTAGAAGAAGAAACAGGCTCCAGGCTTGCTTTGGGCGCGACCTGCACATGTACATAGTGATGTGCAAAGGATGTCTGCAAGAAGACCCTTCGCCGCGCATACCACGCGGTTGGCTAAATTTTCTGGACAATATGTGTGCGATCTGCTAACAGAACCACAGGCGTCAGATCTGTGTGCTAAATTCTCGCTTACCCTTTCGTAGTGGTCCACCACTGCCTTCAGCTGGCGTTCGTGGCAGCTGAAATCGCTTAGATCGAAGGGTACCAGAATTACCTGCGTGTCCTTTGCCATAGCTGTAAAATAGAGTCCCAAATATTATGCTGCCATTCGTACCGGCAGTGATCTGACTGCTGCCCCATTAATGCCAAACTAAGCGAAATTGCTCACCCTGTTACATTTCACCAACATGCATGTAATTTGCGTCTACGCTTCGCCATAAGCTCATTTGATTTTATCAAAAACAGAATCGAATAGTTTTGTCGTTGATACACTGCCAGATTGTTACGGTAAGCTTGCATTAATTTTCAAAACTTGTGTGTATTGCCCTGAATGACGCGTGATTTGATATGATCTTCTTATCAAACACGATACAATACTCAGAAGTTTCGGGATATTTCTCGTACTTTGCGGTCTGTTCGGAAGGTTTAATTAGCTCCGTTGAGTCCGCTTCTCAACACGCACTGTTGCACTACGGAGAGGCCGCGGAGTAAAATTTGCGATTTGGTGAATGTGATTTCGCCTCAGCGCAGTCTTGTATTGAGGGGTAAAACGCTTTTGCAGGGTGTAATGGTACACGATCGTCATATGTTCCCACCATCATAATTTCCGCTACTGGTATACAATACGTAGGAGCTCGCACTAACCATGTACTGCACAACAAGATAGTTAATAATGGCGGTAAGTAGATTCGCCCTAAATGGCTTCAGCTGCAGTTCTATCGAAAAAGTGGGCGACTCCTGCTACCGTTGAATCGATTACGCACTTCCACGTGCAATCACAAACCTCAGGAGTGTGTTTGTTTGATCCTTTGCGAATTGAATGCCGGTATTAACGAAACCGGATTACGGGTCCCGCAAACCGCAGTCGTTGCGACTTCCGCTGCCAGTTTAGGAGGAATGTTTGCAGTTGGAGCATTCGGACACATGTAGAGTTGGCTTTACGCATCGCGAGGCAACTTTGTGGACAGAGGGAAAGCCGCCTGGCTGTCGCACATCCCCGAAAAATGAAATATATTCTACCCCGAATGCGGGTAGCTGAAGCCACAAAAAAGTCACTGGTGATGTCAGACGACTCTCAAGAACTTAGCGGCGTCCGGGACCCGCAGATATCCGCATACCGGTTTGGTTTGAACCACGCTTGACTCACGTCGCACCTATGCACTTGTCCTTGACTGCGCGCAGCCTTTCCGTGTTGGTTCCAGAAAGAGCTAGCTTGGCCCCCGCCCTGGCCAGCTCATAGGACAGGGATTCGCCGATACCGCTGGATGCTCCCGTAATCCACACCACGCTGCCCTTAAGGACGCCTGCGAAGTAAAAGGTACCCAGCATCCAAGGGCCAGGACCATTGGGAGAGACCACGAGAAAGTGGCAAAATATGTACTAGAGGCACATGCAACCACAAAATGAAGGAAGAACTGCGTCATCGAGCTATCAAAGTTACGTGGTGACTGCCTAAGAATCAGCGCTCGTCCTTTGTGTATTTTAGCTGCCTGTGTCTTATATCTTTATTGTGAGTGGGTGAGCCCACTTTAAAAGACTCCAGGATCATTGTCGTCGAAACCGTCTACATTGCAATCGAGAAATTAATATGCACAACACGCTTCAAAAAAAAAAAAATATAAAGAACGTTTTGGCGCGCGCGTATATTTAAGTAAGGACATCAACCACTACTATGCTCTCTGCGAAACTGCATTCAATCCCTGGGATATTGAAGTCGCCAGCTGCTATCAATCTAACAGGTGGGGGATATGTTACACTGTTCAACTATGGACAGTGCCAAAGTAGCGCAGTGGGGCGCCTGGATGCCATTATTAGCGATTTTCATCACGTGTTTTACAGAGGACGAGCCTCTTGCCGAAAACAAACGGAGCGTGCGAGCTCTAATCGCAGTTGGCTTTGGCGTGGCGAAAGGGCGCCACCTTCTCTTTCTTAAATTCAAAATCATTTATTTCCAATGTCGACATGAAAGTGGGGGGAGGCCGAGGAAGAAAAGCTGGTCAAGCAGTCTGACGTGGTCCTCTATTCCTGCCCCCCCCCCCCCCCCCCCCCCTTAACAAGGTAGTGGCAGCGACAAAGGGAAAACCAAGGTGTTGTGTGCTCATACACACTGAAATAGACTACTGTAAACGACTAAATTTTCGCGAAGACCTATTGCTCGCGAATTTCGCGAATCGCCTACAATTCGCGAAATATACCCGCGAACAATTCGGGCAATATGTGAACGCTACGGAAGCTACACTCGATTCGCGAAAATCATAACCCGCGAATAATTTCAAAATTTCAGCTTTGGCCCGATTCGCGAAAATTTGAGCCCGCGAAAATTAAGTCGTTTACAGTATATATAAAGTAGGGCATGAGCTAAAAATATCAACAGCAAAACAAATCACAAAAAGCAATATTAATTGATGTGAAACTTGGCAATGATAATAAATAAATAACGCGATATTTTTACATCAAAATTTTATGACAGAACAAACAACTGGCACGTTATGAGCATTTTAGTTGTTAAAAGGTAATGTATATTAACTACAAAAAGTTACATTTAAGGTAATTGTAAAGTAATATAGACTCAGCAAGAGTGTTTTCAAGTAACTATATCAAAAAGAGAACCTGTTAAGATGCAACAACCAGGAAAACATATATTTAGGGTACACGGCAAAGTGTAGTTCATAATTTGCATTCAACAACAGCAAACAAAAAAACAACACCAGCGTCATCATAAGTCCGGCAATTTTTTTAATGTCAAAGTATATGGCTGTATAAAGTTTTTACTTACAAGGTGATTTAACAGTTTTTGGTAAAGTGTGCATCATCATTTGATCTCCGTATGAAGTTTTGCTAGTGGGCACCTGCCAGTGTATCCATCTTCGGATTTCGTATCCAGAGTCACGTTTTGTCAAAGTTGACAATTCGAAAATTGTCTCCATATGTATGTATGTTTCCTTTTTGTAGGTGGAGATAAGTCTACAGCTGTACAAGTTATGAACTGTCAATACAACGAGCCGGCTAAACAATTCCTCCGTGTGCTAGTCGCATGGGGCATTAATACCCGCTTTTCCATTTTACTTCGAAAAGATTTATTACAAAACATTCGTAAAAATATGCACTAATACGTTTTGGGCATGTGAGGCATACGGCCAGGGTGACATTATATGTGTGGCTAATCTTTGCGGTAAGTCGGATAATTAACTAAACTTCATTAATCAACTTTTTGATTATAATAATATTCTTATGTCTTCAATAAGAAACATGCTGAGCATAATCGAAAACCACTATATCAGTCCATTTTAGAACGACTTGAAGCTCGTGGGAAACTATGGGCACACCAAAGCTACCTCTCGTGCTGCAGGCGCAAAGCTATAGCAGTGGCGGAACGCGCAATGTTAATCTAATCATCCGCGGTTTGCCACTGCTAGCTAAGTTGATTAGCATGTGAAAGGGACGTAAAAAAGCGACAGTGAAATGGGAGAAGGAAAATAACAAAAAGAGATAATCTTCCGCGTAGCAGAAGATATTTTTTCGCACCGGCCTTTAGGATCGTGCGAAGATTTTGCAGAGGTGACCGAGAAGATGGTGCATTGAGCAACCTCCGTGCAAAACCTTAGCTGGATACTTTAGGAAACCGATTTATGCGGTCCTTTAAAGGGCCAGCGAATGTTTCACGATCGGCGGCTACATTCTAGGATGCCGTTTTGGCACCGATATGCGGCAGTGAGGGAAAGAAACTACGCAGCTAGACTCACCTGGGGATCGACCAAACTTGGAAAGAAACACCAAGGGCAGGTCAGCGTCGGCGTACTTGAGCCAGACAAGGAACGTCCCCACCGCCAGCGTAATTAACAGCAGCCAGGCGGCCAACGGATGCTCGAACAAAACGCAAATCATGTTTTGTTTTCTTCACGCGATTTTCGGGGAGACCCGAACATAAACCACCGCAGAGTTATGTCTGCGACACACCCAGCGTCCCTGCTCTGGCAATCTTCCTCGACTCTCAGCCGTCACTCGGCGCCTACTCGAACTAGCGCTTTAGTCTTTTCACCACGATGGACCGCGGAGGACACTGCGGAGGGTGCTCGAAGCCAATTTAGTTCCTTGTGAGTGGCACGTGACCTTCGGAGAAAGGCACCGCGACAGCTACGCGATAATTTCGCAGCTGTTGATTGGCTGGGATGGCTCGTAGCGTCCACTGCGGACCATCCTGGGGTGAAGCGAAGTATAGATAACAGACAGCGTGTCCGACGCCCGCTTTCTTCGCACAGATACATTCGAGGCAAGCGACATTCGCCCCCGCGTTATCGGGTTCGATAAGATGTTCCCGGGATCACAACTTTCGTTCGTTCCCAGTACGCGTCTTTCGTGTGTTGACCAGCGCGAGGAACTCGGCGTGGATCGATGTCCGTCACTGGCAGTCAACGTTACCAAAACACTCAGTTGGGAAACACCCTTGAAACCGTAGTGCTCGCGTCCACCGACACCAAACTAAATACGATCACAACGTGACCACTTTGTGACTAGTCAAAACATGAAAGTTAATTTATATTGCTACCGCGAAATGGCAATGCAAGATGGCGCCACCGGTCCTTGCGCGACTCGACCTGAACCGATACAAGCAGACGTGCAGTTCCCGGAGTGGCCGCTGCGGGAGAAATGGCGGCGTTGCGATCGCCATTAGTTCGGTCTTCGAGTATGGATCAAAGTCACTTTTTCAAAGCAGGCTCTATGGCAGTTTTCCAACTGAGTTGTTGTAGTAACGTTGCTGGCAGTGAGGCTCTTGGTGGCTAAACCGATGACCCGCAGTAAAAAGGCCGTGATCCTGCTTCTTGTTTTTGTGCGTGATTGGTTTAGTTGGTGAAAGGGAAAGCACAAAGACGACGAGCATCGTGACGATGCACTTTTGGCGCCGCTTGATTGGCTCCGTCGAATCGCGTAGCGTTGGCTGCGGTCGGACAGAGTGAGCCGAAAGATCGTAGAGCACGCCGATTGGACCTCGGCGACAAAAAGCGCGCAGCGTCATCGTCGCGAGAATCTATAATCGGCGCGCTCTCTAAACTTTGGCCTTATGTGTTTCACGAGTGTGTAGTGCCCGCGCGAGAAGGATGCTTTTTGCGAAGGTTCATTATTAGTGTCTCCAAAAAAGCCGAATCTCTTGTTTTTGTGTCGTTTGAAATTTTAAAATAAAATGCAGAAGGCTTTGGCTTCTTCCACTACATTTTGAGACTATATTTAAAGGAGCTGTGCAACGATATTCAATTGGAATGTTTTTCTCTCTACACGAGCTTACTGGCACAGCTCGGACTCAAGGATACTCACACGCAACGCCATTGGCCAAGAAACTCCTTTGTTGCGGTGTAATTTCAAGGACAAAAGCGATCATTTTCATTCAATCTCTCCTTTGCAAAATTTGATGACGTAACTCGGGGATCGCAGTACACCCAAGTGACGATATTTGAATGCGGTTCATAGATTGGACCCGAGCATTGCGTGAGCACTCGACTTGGGCTCGTGACAATTGCTAGCTCGAGAAGCATTCGGGTTGTGACCCGTGTCCAATCGCTGCAACGACGACAACAGCCGAGCCATAACAATGTCTGGAACTCAGCGCGTGTCCTGCGCTTTGCCAACCCCAGCGCGTGGCTATGATCAACACTGGCGGCATATAATCGGCTCCAGATCACGTGGCCACTTGTTCTGGCTGCGAGTTGAGGGGGTGAACGCTGCTCGTTTTTCTTAAATTTTTTTCTGGGACTTCTATTGCGTGGGTTGAAAAACGGACGCGTGTTTCGTAGGTCATTAACGTTAGGGATCCGTTTTAAGCGGTATTTGCGCAAAGTACAAAAATTGTTGCATAGCTCCTTTAAATTAGAATCATTCAGGAATAAAAGTGACTCAAACAAATGTCATTTGCCCGGAAGTCTCTAGAATTTCACGTGGTAGAAGGCAGTCGTACACAATAAATCTGTTTTTTCTTCCCCAATGCCCTAGACGACATAACATGCTATACGAAACACGGAAACACTTATTAGCGCCGTTCGCTGGAACTGAGCGGCGGGAATGTTTTAATGTTTTTTTATTTATCCATCCAAAATCGGCCAGGTGTTTTTTTTTTTGTTTTTTTTTTTTAAACATCAACACACGAAGCGTATATTTTGTAGATAGCTGCATCATCTTGCGTGCTGAAGGCTCGCTCGCATGTGTCCGTGTCTCACACCTCGCGCTAGTGAACGGATCACGGCTCGTGGCTGATGACCAGTAAAACCGTCCTTGCTCTTATCTACCGAGTCGCCGTTCTCTTCTCTAATGCGTCATGGTGTCAGAAGTGGGATGCCGTCAACGATGAGTCAACCTCAAGAGCTCGTCAACAGGCACCGCAACGCCAAATAGGGAACACCACGTCGGTATAGGAAAATTTGCCCTCGGTCTTTGAGTTCGAGTATGAGTCTTTGGGTTCGGTCTTTTGTCATACAACCGCCAGAAGCCTTCCGCTTGTGGGAAGCCGAGGAGGACGACGGCGCGCGAGGGGGCAGGAGCGGTGGCCGGCGGCCCGGTGCGCGAGACAGAGTGCACGAGAGATTCCGCCAGGCACTGGGGCAAGACACGGACGAGGACTGCAACGGCAAGGCACAGCGACCAGCCGAAACAGTAAAGTGATTTGAATTCATTCTTGCTCGTGTGACTTTTTGGGAGGGCGGACCAGGCAGGGACCGATTGGGCAGCAGTATAGTAGAGCGACCCACACGCTTTAGTTCTCCTAACGACTGGCCGAAGTGAAAAAAGCTCTACGAGCGTTTCCACAATGCTTACGGTCCCTGCCAAGCCCGAGTCACACCAAATCGATGATTTGCTGTACACCATATGGGAGACCGGACCGTGAACATCTATGGCATATTACAGCTTTCTGCGGAAGAGGCCAATAAGTTTGAACTAGTCATGACATACTTTGACAAGTACTTTATCCCGCGGCGGAACATCATCTTCGAACGGGCTCGTTTCAACCCAAGGGTCCAACAAGACAGCGATTGTGCGGGAAACTTTGTTACTGCGTCACACACGCTTTTGAAGCACTATAAGCACGGTCCTCCAGGAAGAGTTGGTACGAGACCGACTAATCTTTGGAATCAAGGGTAAAAAATTTCTGCAAGACTTCAACTTAATGCTGACCTCACTTTTCAAGAAGCGCTGGACTCTGTCAGGCACGTAGAAAGCGTGCGTCAGCAACAGCAAAACTTAACACCTACAAGTTGGGAGTGAATAAATTTGCCTCAGCGAGTCAACAAAATGGAAGGCAACGACGATTCGTAAAGCGTCATTCGGAACCAACCCACTCGAATGACGGTAGACCGCACTTCGAAGCAGGGCCATCAGGCACAGCCAAATGTGGCAAACCGAGACCGTGTCGCTGGTGCGGAAAAAAGCAGCATGCACGCACCCTCTGCCCAGCATGGTCCCAAGTCTGTAGGACCTGCCAAAAGAAAGGCCACTACTATTCGTCTTTCTGTAGATCTTGACGAGCCAACTTTGTTAAAGCTCATCGAATGAACAGCGAACCGGGGTTCCCAAGAGCTGTCAAGTTCTCCGGAACTCCATCATGGTAGACTAAAATCCCGGCTCAAGATCAGCCAGTGAAGGTCAAAATCGACACGTGCGCTGACGAAACTGTCCTATCACAAGCAGCATTCAAGATGCTCAAACATCAACCTTCGCTTTTCGATGCCCCTCGTCAGCTTTACGATCCTGGCGCAAACCTCGTCGCAACTAGAGGCGTTGTCGAACTGGTCTACCGCGACCGCCAAATAATCCAAGACGTTTACCTGATGAACGACGTTCACAATTCCCTGCTTGGGAAGCCTGCCATCAATAACCTGAACATTCTAACATTTCTTAACATGGTCACACAAAAGGTGAACCCGAAAGTCGAATTCTCTTCATTTTTAAAGATGTCTAGGCAAGTTGGAGAAGGAACACAACAATCGTTCGCCCGCTGGAGCCATAGCCATTTTTTTTTCTAAACTCCTCGCAGCATTTTCATCCCTTTGTACCGAAAAACTAGGGAGGTGCTTCAGCGAATGTAAAGAATCGGGGTCATTTCACCTGTCGACGAGCCAATGGAATGGTGTGCGCCCTCGGTGGTAGTCCCCAAACGAACCGGAGCAACCTGAATCTGCGCGGACTTCACGGCACTCAATCGTCTCGTCCAGAGATTTCCCTAGACCCCCCCTAGGGGGGGTTGAGACCCCCCCTAGTTTTCCTGGACACCCCCCCCCCCCCCCTTAAATCTAAAAAAAAAAAAAATTAAGATTCTTTTCTTTAGATTAAGTAGAAAACACCACCTCTCAGGTGTATATATAGAGAAAGGGAAACATACATTACGGGTGTGAGCATTTTGTTAATAGACGTCTGTAATTTAGCTAGTGGACTAAAAAAGAAACAGTTTTATATTTTATCTCGGAATGTTTTTCACTTTCCACGAGCTTACTGGCACTAGTGGAACTCAAGGATACTCGCACGCAACGCCACTGACCAAGAAACTTCTTTGTTGCGCTGTAATTTCGAGGACAAAACCGAGTGTTTTCATTCAATCTCTCCTTCGCAAAACCTGATGACGTAGCTGGGCGGTAGCATTGGCGCCCAGTGACGATATTCGAATGCGGCTCATTGATTTGACCCGAGCATGGCGTGGACACTCGGTTTAGGCTCGTGATAATCGATAGCTCGAGAAGCGTTCGGGTAGTGTCCTGTGTCCAATCGCTGCAATGACAACAGCCGAACCATATCAATGTCTGGAACTCAGCGCATACACTATTGGCTCTCTCCTTCCCCCCAACCTCTATCACAACACTTCTCTCTCTCTCTCTCTGGAACTCAGCGCGTGTCCTTTGCCTTGCCAACCCCAGCGCATGGCTATGATCAACATTGGCGGCATATAATCGGCTCGACTGTTGCAATTGACACGTCGTTAGAGCATGTATCTGCTTGATGGTTAGCCTGACCGCACTTCGCACAAGTGGCTTTGCCTCGGCAGCTCTGGGATCCATGACCAAATCTCTGACAGTTAAAACACCTGCGAGGATTTGGCACGTAGGGCCGCACTCTACAGTGAAGGTATCCAGCCTTCACAGCCTCTGGCAATGTAGTGGATTCAAAGGTAAGAACCATGTGCTTTGTTTTCCGTTCTTGGCCGTCGCGGCGCAAGGAGATACGCCTTGCCGCTACAACGCCTTGGTCGGAAAGTCCCTCAACTATTTCACTGTCTGAGGAGTCAAGGAGGTCATCCTCAGAAATGACCCCCTGGATGGTATTTAGGGTGCGGTGAGGTGTAGCTGTGATTTT